CTGCTTTCGAATATACTGGTCAGCCTTGAGACTTATGCTGTCTACAACCAACCCCTGCACCACAGTGACTCTGGATCTTCTCTTCCCTGCAAACTCTCACTCCTCCACCGCCCTCTCTCCTCCATGTTCAACCTCTGCCACCCTGCTGGCTCCTTCCCACCAGCACCTTTCCTCAAAGCCCTTTATGACTTACCACTCTCCTACCTCCATCACAGGTTATTTTGAAAGAGCTTTCTACATTTGTGGTCTCCAGCTCCTCACCTCCCATCTATTCCTCCAGGTGCTATAATCTGGCTTTCCCCATCCAGCCTCTCCTACCATTTCCCAGGAGGTTGGAATTCAGCAAAGCGTGGCCTCATTTAGGTCAATGGTCAGACTCCATTTCTCAGAGAGTGTCTCAAAGCCCCTGCTTTAGCCCAAGGCCACCCCCCCCCCCCCCGGCCACCCCCACATCTCCAAGGGCCTCTGGGACAGTTACCCTCTCAGATCCTATTAAGAGAAAATAACTGTGGAAGGTGGTGAGCCATCAGCCATCTCCACATTCACTCGTATCATTTCTGTCCTGATTACCTCCAGTCTGACCACTCATATTAGAGGCAGGGCAGGGTGGTGGGCCCGGCTTGGTGTCAGCTCTGCTGCTGATTTGCTGTGTGCCACTTCTCTGCCTGGAGCCTCAATTTGCTCCTTCACGAAATGGGAATAATGGGATCCAGTTCCCAAGGATGCTGTGGTTAATTGAGATGATGACTTACAGGAGGTCTGGGGAATGTAACAAGCTGAACAAAGGTGGGTTCCAAAGAAGGCCCAGGCCGGCTGGCCCATTCCATTGGAGCTTGGACTTTAAGAGCAGTCTTCTGGAACCCAGGGGAGACTTTGGACGACCCTACTCAGGCTAAGGGAATGGGGAGAGACCAGAGACCACATCATACACAGGCAAACTACAGTGAGGACATACACAGCAGTGTTCACTAATTCATCAAACATTTATTGAAAGCCTGCTGTATAAGCAATTCAAGCAAGAATGAGCTACAGATGTTTACAGTTTAGAATTGAAGAGAAGAAACAGAAACATACTCACCATTCAGTTTGCTCGGGCAGAGCACTGTGGAGGGAACCAGGAAGGCCTGTAAGCCTGGCCCTTGTCCCCCAGGGTGGGCCAGAGAGACTGCAGGGGGCCAGCAGAGTGGAACCAACACAGAGAGACAGAGAAAGGGCTCAGGGCACACACAGGAGGTGTACAAAATAGGACACAAGGACCCCAAAAGCTTTCACAGAGAGCAGGCAGGGGTTGAGGAAAGGTCTAGAACATTTCTGCCTGGGGTTCCAACACCTCGAAGGCTTCATGCAGGAGCTGAGAGTGAGGTGGACTTGGCAGAGAAAGAAAGGCTCAGCTGCCCTCTGTCCTGAGGGGAAAGACAAAGGTGGTCACAGTCCAAGGGACTGCCTAACCAAGTAGGCTGCATGACTCAGGGATGGGACGCAGGAAGTGTCCTGCCCCTCTTTAGGGGAGAATTTAGCAGAGAAAGCTTGCAGAGGCCGAGCTGCTGGGGCCCAGCTGCTACAAGGGGCAGTGGGTCATCTCTGCAAGCCAAAGATGCTTTCGGCCAGCCACCCACCCACTCCTGGCATGGGGTCAATGGCTTTACATCTTCACCCACTTGGAGGAGCTTAGGAGTCTGAGGGTCCCCTTATATCTCTCCCCCACATGCCACTGAAGGGACTGGGATGTGCTGGCTTGAATGACAATGTCAGACATGCTTGTGATTCATTCAGGCCATTGCTCGTCCCCCTCCTCCCCTCCCCTGTAGCATCTGACACTGCAGCAAACCCAGCAGCCTCCATACACTTACTCAGAGCACCGATTCTGTTTGCAGGCACCTGGCTCCTCGGTCACCTCTGTGCCCAGGCCATACATTCTCATTCGGCCTCTTTGAGCATTTTACCCCCGTTCTTGGTGCCTGGCAGATGAGCCAATGGTGATTAAGAGTTTGGGCTTCGGAATCTGGGAGCTGCAGTTTGAAACACTTGCTATGCCACTTTACAAGCTGTGTGATCTTGGGCAATTCTCTAACCTCTCTGAACCTTCATTTCCTCCATACAACATGAATAATACTATGCGCCTCAAAATCCTTTGTGAGGATCAAGCATACACAAAGGCTGTGCCTGCCTTGTTGTTGTGTTCAATAAGTGCCAGCTCATTGCATTCTTTCCCTCAGAAATCTCCTTTATTCTGCACTTCCGCACATGCATTTCCCTCCTGCCTCTCTTCTCTACATCTATTGACTATTCACTCTTCCAGTTCATCCTTTCCAGACAGTCTTCTCAAAGTGCCCTGTACCCTGGGCCTTCCTCCTCACTGCCCCTGCAGGGTGGGGGTCAGGACTGTGCTGAGTGCACCCTTGACTGCTGGCTGTCTTTCTGGGGCACACTTGGCTCCTGTTTCCTCACATGAGGCAGTTCCAAGAGAAGCCTTGAGCGCCAGCTCAGAGCTGGGCACGCAGTCCAAGACTACCAATATGTGTATTGGATCTAACCCTCCTTAAGATCCACAGTCCTCTTCTCAATGAGCAACATGACACTTTTATGACAAGAGCCAGTAAAAGTACCCCGACCTCCATAAAGGGAACAATTTACAGGAACAAGGAGTTAAATGAAGTGTGATATTTTGGAGGATCTCTGCTGTGTGGCAAGAAATGACCCTAAAAACTGTTTGCACGTGAAGAGCAATTAGAAGATAACACAGAGGGGGTAAAAATTAATCATTGCTCTGGAAAATGCACAAGGAACTGTCAACCTCCTCATTTTAAAGATGAAGAAATTGAGGTTCAGAGAGACAAAGTGGCTGGCTTAAGTTCACACAGCAAGGCAGAGCAGGGGCTTCTGACCAGGCTGACTCCAAGTTGAATGTCTTTAACTCCCACACCCTGGTGTCCACTATGTGGTATTTATGGAGTCATTAGTGTAACTTGGTACAATATTCCTCAAACAGAATGATTTTAGAAATGACCGTTGCCCTCAGGTTCTATTTAATAAGCTGTTATTTCTGATTCAGAGTCCTTGGGGCTCCCAGACAGGTGTCACATTCTCTTAGGAGAGCACCCCATGTCCTACTGTTTTTTTTTAGTTCTTAGGGCTGGTCCCATGTACAACCAGGGGATGGGCTGCAGGAAGACAGTAACTGCAGATACGAAGACTGCAGTAGGGTCTCCTTCTCCCTCCTGTTGCCCCCACCAAACACATTCATGGGTGAACTGAGCTGCAAATGACCTACCTTTAAAATAACACCAAGAGGGGCCGGCCCCGTGGCCGAGTGGTTAAGTTCGTGTCTTCTGCTTCTGTGGCCCAGGGTTTCACTGGTTCGGATCCTGGGTGCACACATGGCACCACTCATCAGGCCATGCTGAGGAGGCGTCCCACATGCCACAACTAGATGAACCCGTAACTAAAATATACAACTATGTACCGGGGGGCTTTGGGGAGAAGAAGAAGAAGAAAAGAAGATTGGCAACTGTTGTTAGCTCAGGTGCCAATCTTCAAAAAAAAATAATTCCAGGAAAAAAAATCAAGTTTTGGAACTACCTGTAAACTACTGCAGTTCTTTACTTTCCAAAAAATTTTCTTTTTAAGTGGACAAGTACTCCAAGAAACTAAGCTTCTTCCATATTGTGGTACTTTAAAGGAATAATAGTATTGCTCACACCAAAAGACCCAGGGACTCTCATTCCATCAGGTGTAGCTGTGGGTGTCACCCCACTTCCAGGCTGCTCTGGGACAACAGATCTGCAGACGTTTGGTTGACCCAAGGTCCTGCGTGGCTCCTGACTTGGACCGCAGGCTAGGGAGAATGGGTTTTTCCTCTACATTCAAGCACCAAGTCTTCCTCCATTAGAAACAACGGGCATGAAATTTATGAGTGAGTCTTTGCAAGGATGCAAATATGAGTTCTGACTTCTGACTACATAATCTCCTCAAGTGATGTGCATTGAGAATGTCTTTGGTGGCTCTGAATCGATATGGGAATCGAGTCCTGCCTACCAGAGAAGGGATTTAAATCAGCTGTCTTTTGATTTACCTTCAGGGTACATTTGGGGAGCAGGGGGAGAAGATGCTGACTGCTGAGGCCTGCATCACGTAAGCACTGAAAATATACTCCTACCTGTCCTGTATCAGTTATAGGGTCTTCAGGCTAAAAGGGATTGTGAAATCATCTAGTAACTCCACATCCCCATTTGATGCATCAATTCTATGACCATCATTCCTGGCGACTGTCTAGTTTCTGCTAGAATAACTCCAAGATCAGGGAGCTCGCTACCTCATGAAGCTCAGGTGCTCAAAAACGGGAAAGGCTCATCATAACTAGGGATCAAAATCTGCTTCCCATGACTTCTCTCCCACAAGTCCGAGTTCCGCCCTATGTGTCCACTCAGGCCACTGCAGCTCCCCCCCACCAACCCCCCCAACCCCCACCTGATGCTGCACAGCTCCAGGCCTTCGGGCTGCTCCTTGTAGCCCCTTTTCATGCAACAGCCAGCACTCTCAGAGTCATGGCATACTGCTGAATGAATGATGTTTGGGGTCGGCCAAGCCCCCAGGATCTGGAGTGGACATGTAGCAGGCACGCCTTGTAGATGTAAGCTCCGAAATCTTGAGCCATCAGGCTACTTTTGCGCCTGAAGTTCCTCCATTCTAGGTTTCCAAAAATGGCCCAGATCCCTCTCTCACAGCTCCCTTATAGAAACAAAAGGGAAACATAAAGCAAGAGCCCAATTAAGTGCCTTATAAGGTGATTTTTGTTTGCAGAGGTTGTGCCAAGAGGATCAAAGTGCTAGACCCGGCGGGGTCTCCAGGGTTCATCTGATCCTTACCTCTTCTTGTAGGAATGGGGAGACCGAGCCTAGGGAGGAAAAGTCACACAACGTTAGTGGCGAACTCTGTCCTACGTAGTCTCCACGGCCAATGGGCCCACACCGCCCCTCCTAGAGACCCAAGAATACTGGCCCTTAAGTCAGACACTGCTTCTTGACGTCATCACCCCAACCCCGGGTGGCACAATCTGCCCCATCACTCTCGGTAATGACGCAGCTGCTAGTGGTCCTTCCTGAGAGGTGCGCCTCTCGGGGTTCAGGCCTGGTTGGAGAGCGTGGCTGCTGGGGCACGGCTGTGGGACCCGGGTCGGAGGTCCGCGGGGCGCTTGCCCGGCCGCACAGCTCTCGCAGACCTTGACGGAAGTCGCAGAGCAGCAGGCAGTAGAGCAGCCGGTTGAGGCAGCTGTTGGAGTGCGCCTGGCAGATGAAGACGGGGAAGAGGAAGGCCTGCGCCAGGAAGTAAGCATGGTCCCGAGGTACTGCGTTCAGCTTGATCGGCACGCCCCAGAACGTGAGTGCTTGGTTGGGCAGCCAGCAGAGCACGAAGGCCAACAACACGCAGGACAGCGCGTGGGTGACCGGCGAGAGCCGTCGGGGCCAGTAGCCCGATGGCCCGCGCAGCCGCCGCAGGAAGCGCAGGAGCAAAAGCGAACAGGTAGCCAGCGTGGCAGGCGGCAGCACAAAGGCCACGGCGATCTTTTGCAGATGGTATAGGGCCAGCCAGTCCGGACTGCCGTCGGGGAAGCACAGCAGGCACAAGCGTTCAGCCCCCACGCTGGCGAACAGGGCAGTGGGCACGACGGCCAGGACTGCGGTGGCCCAGAGCAGGCTGTACACGCAGACGGCCCACGGGGTGCCGGGACGACTGCAACGCTGCGCGCCCGAGACAGCACAGCAGCGCTCCGCGCTCGTGGCGCTAAAGAAGAAGCTGCTGGCGTACATGTTGAGCACCGTGAGCGTCAGCACTACCTTGCACACGGCTCCCCCGAAGGGCCAGCTGAAGTCGCGCACCACGTCCACGGCCCAGAAGGGCAGCGTCAGCACGAACTGCAGGTCGGTGGCTGCAGGTTGAGAGGAAGCAATTCAGCAGCGAGTGGCGGCGCTGCTGCTGCGACTGCACCCAGACCAGCACCGGCATGTTGCCTACCAGCCCTACAGCGCACAGGGCCAGGTAGGCGCCCGCGATCGGCGCCCACAGCGTCAGTGCCGCGCCGGCCCCTGCCACGCCCTCCAGGCCGTCCAGGCTGCGAGGACCCCGGGCCGGGTGAGAGCTCTCCGATCCGTTGCCCACGGAACTGTTCGGGGACAGCTCTGACGACGGGTCTTCCCGCCAGTTCATGGGGGTTACGGCCCCGACGACGCGGGCGATACGACAGCTGCCTCTGGTTGACGCCATCGCCGTTGGCGGGGACGCAGGGGTCCGCTCGGGGCCACTTAAAGGCTCGCAGCCGCCCGAGAGTACTGGGGGTCTGTGGCGCCTCTCGGCAGCAAGTTTAAAGGGCTGGAGGCCGCCCCGCTGGCCGGCGATTGGCCAACTGCACCCGTGCCCCGCCCCGAGAGCTACTAAGTCGTATTCCTATTGGCTTTTGGTTCACCTTCGATTTCCTCGAGAACTGAGGACCCTCTGCCAGGGAACTGAGGCGTGGGCGCCACGAAGCCTGGGATGGAGCAAATGGCTTTTGCGATTCCCGCGCGCGCTGGGCCGCGGCTGCGGGTCACTTCGTGAGGACTTAGCTCTAGTATCCCAGAGCGGCCCCGACACTTGGGGTTGGAGGAGAGGGAGTCAGACAAATCTCGCCTCCACCTCCAGACTGCGCTGGCCCTGAGATAGCCAATGGAAGACCGCGGAGGATTGTCCAAGTCGGGACAGCCGGGCTTGGCGGCCCCTCTGCCCTCCATCCCTGCCCCCTTGATCCCCCCCCCCCCATCTTGATAAAGGCGTTTTCCCTTCTGTGCTTTAGCATTGGGTACGCCTCATCCCCACGCCCATTTTGTTCTGTTCTCTAAGGACGGAGACCTTCCCGCCGCCAGCAGACCTGCCTGCACCTGGGCTGGGGACAGAGGAAACTAAGCCAGGAGCAGCCAGGGAAGGAGACATCCTGACGGATGACCAGTGTTGTGAGGTCATGAGTGGGCCAGCGCCTGTGCTGAGCGTGCATGGAGTAGGGGCCTAAAGCCGGGGGAAGGCTCAAAGGCTTCTCAGGCCAGGTGGCTTTTGAGCTGATCCCAATACTCCCTCGGCTTAACGTACTCCAGTAGCTACCCCTTGCAATTAGAATAAAATTTAGATTTCCTGCTTTGGCCTACAACGCCTCATGACAGAGACCCTCAACCAGGGCTTAAGAAAAAAAGAATAAAAAAATCAGTAGACAAATCCCATACTGCAGAGGTCTGGGATCTAGTATAAGCCCTGGTGTTTCTAAAGGTGTCCTAGACAATTCCAGTGTGTGCCAGGGTTGACAATTCCTCTGTCTGACCTCCCTGCCTGCCTCCTAGACCTTGTCTCCTACCACTCTGAGCCTGACTCACTTTGCTTCAGACACGCTGGCCTGCCCTTCCTCAAACACACCAATCTCAGTTCTACCTCAAGGCCTTTGCCCTTGCTGCTCCTTCTGCCAAGAATGCCCTTCCCCGGATTTTCCTATGGCTAGCTCCTTCTCGGTACTCAGGCCTCAGCTCAAATGTCACCTCCTCAGAAAAGCCTTCCCTCAACCATCTCCTTCTTGACTTCCAAAAATATGTATTGCATACCGTCTATGTGCCCGGCACCTTGCCAAGCACTGGGGATGCAGCAATGCATGTGGAGCATATCTTCTGCTGGGGGATAAAGATAAATGAGTATGAATGAGAGGAACTCATGGAGGGGAAACCAATAAATAAAACAACACATAAGACAAAACAAGGTAATAAGACAAGAGTGAGTGACAGGGCAGGAGGCCCAAGGAAGGGGCTTGGCTTGAAGGATGGGAGGGCTACAGGGGAGGAGGAGGCCATAGGTCCCTTTATCTCACTTACCAGCTATGTGTCCTGGGGCTAATCAATTAACCTTGAGGCACATCTGTAAAAGAAGATTTTGATAACCCCTTGCCAGGGTCATGGAGAATAAACCAAGCTAATGAGCGAAAGCCCGCAGCTCTGCCTGCTGTGGGCCCTTCTAATAATAATAATAATAATAATAATAAAATATGTAATATATATTTAATAATATATAATAATATTTTATATATAATTATATATTATATAATATATAATTTAATAATAATATATAATAAAAATTATATTATTATTATTATTATTATTATTATTATTGAGAGGCCAGGCTGACCTGTCACCTTGCTGAAGGCTCTCTCCAGACCCTCTCTGTGGTGGACAGTCCTCCACTGGCTGTAACCTGGAGCGCCCACTCTCAGGAGCCTTTTCCTTTTTTCCCACCATCATCAGGAACATCAGAACAGCATGCCACCAGGAGCTGGGAGGTGGTCCCCAAAGGGCAGGTCTTCCCCACCTCTCCTGTCCTCAGTCAGTCACTGCAGCCAGACCCACTCCCAGGCCTCTGCCTCCCTAGCCCAGGAGAGAGGGAATCTGCAACAAGTGAGATTCTCTGGCCAGTGGTCAGAAAAGGGGAAATTAACCCAATTACGCAGCTCTAGTCTGGGCCAGAGCCTGGATGAACCGGTAATCTGATAGAAAGTTTGCAAAATTAGATCAAACACCTTCAGAGTTTCCTTCCAGTGGACCTTGGGAAGCAGGAATTTTTCTTCCTCTAATGGGAGGTGTCGCTGAGTGTCAGGTGGCCCCCTCTGGTCTGTTTTTCTCGCCTGTAAAATGGTCTGTAAGGCTCCTTGTAGTTCTCACACTCTAAGAGTTGTCTGTGTATTTCTTGTCTTCATTGATTCATGTATGACTTGTGGGGTGCTTCAGCCCAGGATCTCTTCTCCTTTCGGCATTCAGAAGATGAGTCATATCATAGCATGTGCCTGATTAAAACCCTCCATGAGATCCTATCCCATTTAGGATAAAATCCTCACTCTACTTGACCACGAGGACTTGCTGATCTGATGCCTGCTCACTTCTCTGACCTCATTTAGCAATCCACTAACCTGTATCCTACTCCATGCTGGGCTCCACCCACATTGGCCTCTGCTATCCCTCCATGGTGTCAAGCTTTTTCTTGCCTCTACTTCAGGCCCTCTGCTTGGAGTGCTTTCCTCCAGTTTGTCCCAAGTCTGACTCTTTCTTACCACATAGGACTCAGATCAAATGGTACCTCCTCAAAGAAGTCCTCCTTGACCTTCTTACCTGTAGCACCAAGCCCCACCCCATCCTCAAGTCTCCCTCTTATCACCCTAGGATTTAAAAAAAATCTTTTAAGTGAAATGTAATATCCATACATACGTGCCCACATATCATAAGTGCACAGCTTGATGAATTTTCACAGACCGAACACACCCAGGTAACCAGCACCCACATCAAGAAACAACATGAGCAGCATCCCCACAAGCTCCCTCATGGCCCTTTAGTCCCCCATCCTCCCAGGGTTACCACTATTCTCACTTCTAACAGCACAGATTAATTTGGCCTGTTTTTATATTTCATATAAATGGAAACATACAGGGCCAGCCCGGTGGTGCAGTGGTTAAGTTCGCACATTCCCCTTTGGCGGCCAGGGGTTCGTCAGTTTGGATCCTGGGTGCAGACCTATGCACTGTTTGTCAAACCAAGCTGTGGCAGGTGTCTCACATATAAAGTAGAGGAAGATGGGCGTGGATGTTAGCTCAGAGCCAGTCTTCCTCAGCAAAAAGACGAGGATTGGTGGCAGATGTTAGCTCAGGGCTAATCTTCCTCAAAAGAAAAAAAAAAGGAAACGTGAACACTTTAGTGCCTGGCTGTGTGTGTCTGTGAAGTTCATCCACATCATAGTGTGTAGCAGTACATCATTCATCCCCACTGCTGTATTATCATCCTGTTTTATTCATAGCACTTGTCACGATAAGAATTTGTCTATTTGTTGGCATTTTTTTTGTCTACCCCCACTAGAAAGTTAGTTCCATGAAAGTGGGGACTGTGCTTGTCCTGTTCCTCCCACATGGTGGGCGGTCAATAAAGAACCACTGGATGAAGAGCTGCAGGCCATTGCCCATTCTGGGCCCAGCATTTGGTTGGCATTGTGATGGAGACAGAGACGGACTAACACCAATCCTACCTCCAGGAGCTCACAGGTCATGGGAGGGCTCAGACAGGGAGAGCCAGCGCTGAATGAGGGACACTGAGACAGTGCTGGGGGCAGAGGACATGTTCGGGGAGATGCAGGGAGGGCTGGGGGCCATGAGCTCTAGGCTGGGCTGGAATCATTCATTCCATGAGCACTTGTGAGCACACCTTGTAGGGTGGGTGTTGGTTATGGGGAGACCCTCTCTGGGTCCTCAGGAAGGCTGGGGCTAGAAGGGCAGATAAGCAACAAGTGCTGTACAGTAGACTCACATACACAGGGGCCTAGGGAGTGTCCCAGAGAGGGTAGCTGGAGCCAGGAGTGGGGACAGCACTGAGGTGCCGAGACACTTTTTGGGAGGCGGCTCCCTCTCTTTGACTGAGCAGCCTACTCTGAGCCAGGCCCAGTACAGATATCATCTCTTCTAGCCCTTATGCCTCCTCTGTGAGGCAAGGAATGTGATCCCCATTTATACAGTGGGAAACTGCGGCTCAGAGAGGGGACTTGCCCCATGTCCCACAGCTGAACCAAGAGTTGAACCCAAGCCTCCCCGAAGAGCCTGTCTTTTCCCCTGGGTCTCTCTGATGACAACTCACTGAAAATCTGCATGTGTCAGGGTCTGCCCAAGAGGACACAGTTATTGGTGGGAGAGGATCACAGATTGGGGATACATTTCTTTTCTTTCTTTCTTTCCTTCCTTCCTTCCTTCCTTCCTTTCTTTCTTTCTTCCTTCCTTTCTTTCTTTTTTCCTTCCTTCCTTCCTTCCTTTCTTCCTTTCTTCCTTCCTTCCTTCCTTCCTCCCTCCCTCCCTCCCTCCCTCTCTCTCTCCCTTCCTTCCTTCCTTCCTTCCTTCCTTTTTCCTTTCTTCCTTTCTTCCTTCCTTCCTTCCTTCCTCCCTCCCTTCCTTCCTTCCTTTCTTTCTTTCTTTCTTCCTTCCTTCCTTTCTTCCTTTCTTTCTTTCTTTTTTTAAGAAGTCTCTTTATTATTGTTACTACAGTGAAAAAATAGCACTTCCATGGATGGTTTTCTACAAGTTATGTGGCCAGTGTTGGTTTTTCCCATTGGGATAATTTCCCTACAGTGAGATTACAGGTGGTTGTGCCATGGGGCACGGATCATTTTGGGTTCCTGCTGCATGTCCCCTCTCCAATTCCCCATTCCTTCCCCCTGTCTGGGCCACTCAGCCC